ACTGCAGGTAAGTGACGTCCTGAGCCAATATTTTAATTGGTCTCTGGTTTAATCATCTGTTCAGAATGCCTCCGCTGCTAATACTGTTGGGAATGGTCAGACGGTTCGTCGTAGGAAAAATCATGACGAGTAGGCGAGTTAATCTTGAAGATGGTCCAGGATTTGCGAAAGAGTGGGAGTAGTCCAATAATTAGTGGCGTCAATGAGCAGGTGTTATTCCTATAAAGTAATCACGTTCAGACTGAATTTGAACATCAAATGTCTACTTGCAGCTGTTTCTGCAAACGGGGAAAGAAAGGAGAGGTCACTGAAAGCAGGAGAATGAAATAATCCCTGGGATCATCGGCCACGATGCGCCGCAAGTAACATACCGACCGCCTCGTGGATACAGCGTAGGGCACAGAGGTCACTTCGGACAGGAAAACGGGCTTGGTTCAAGTGGCGTTCGTCATGCGGGGAGTCCGACTTCTTGAAGAACAAGAGAATTCCCAGGCGTTGCAACAAAGCAGGCCGTAGCGACAGGTTTAGGTTAGAAGCAAACCTGGAAGGGAGCTACGAAGTAACCGCAGAAATCTATATCGTTTCACGCCGAAGGGGGTCGACCCGAGGAGGGGCTAATCTTATCACGGGGTTCAGTGGGGATGTAATGACCAGCCTGGAGATGTTTGAGTTTCCGAGTTCGCAACTCGAAGCCTGAAGTAAGCAGAATATGGCCGAAGGGCAGACCACCGGTGTCGGTTCCCTGAGGAGCGACCGTGGGGCCACTGCTGTACCTCCTGTTCGTCGAAGATCTGTCACACGAAGTCCCAACATCCATCTTGCCCTTCGCTTATGAGACAAAATGTGGAGGGCAATAGACGAAGAGACCGACTTTAAAGAACTCTAAAATGACCTGCAGCTGCTAAATCTCTGGTCGCTGGGAAGGTGGTTTGGCTTCAACACGGAGCAGTGCTCAGTGAGGCACATCAGTACCTACAAACCAAGGATGGGTGAACTTCAGTACGAGTTGAGTAACCGCGTTATCATCAAACTATCCACGGGAAAGATTTAGGGCTCAACTCCTAGGATACCCTGAGCATCGGGTGTAACAATCTAGAGATGGCAGCCGTGGGAAACTTCATCTTACATTTTCGCTACAGACAGCTTGGCGCCCTCACCTCCGAACTATTTGTCATGGTTTTCGGACACTAAGTACTCTCGCATTTGCAGATTTCATAACACGATGGCACCTCCGATGCTTAGGGGAGACTTCAGCCTCCTTGAGTGGACAAAGACTTGCAATAAAATCAGTCATGGGACCAAGGGGGAGGGCATACTCTGAGTGACCGAGACACTTAAGTCTATTCACCTTGGGCTGTCGCAGGAGGAGATGGGATTTTGTTGCGGCTTATATGATCATCACCCGCCATGCCGGTCACGAAGAAACCCAAGGTTACCTGAGACAAGGTGGTCATCACAAGGGAGCCCCATAGGGATAATGCATCACAAGACTGACACAAGGTTTGGGTTTAACCTGTCCTCCCTAGGATTATGTGTTCTGTGGAGTGTCCTACCGTGGAATGTGATCATAGCCCTCTCGGTAGATGAATTCACAGGACGGTTAGATAAATACATCATTTCTTACGGCCTACTACAGGTATGCTTAGGGCATTATTGACATCACCGGCTCGCCACCGCTTCATTATTATTTGCCACCCACCATCTCTCTCTTTTTGATAGACCTCCGCTATCTGCTAACTCTTCTTTGGTAACTGAATACTTACCAGCTAATTTTGCCTTTCGAGTACGTCCCACGTGTTCCTTCCCATTATTTCGCCACGTTTGTTCAGACACCTTTACGGGCGGGAGCAGCGAAATACCCCCCAACCTTACCGGTAAACACAGACCTTCCAACCATCTTAATCTACAAATCGCTAACCCGCTTACCATTCATCTCACTGGAAACAAGAAGAGATCTCCTTGCTCTCTGAGGGAGTAAAGCGAACACCAGGAACCAAGCCCCAGTAAGTAGGCGCGACAGGCCAGAAAGAAATCAGTTTCCCATGCTTGCACCATTGATTTCGCCTGTCGTCAGATGCTGAGAGTCTCCACGTGACCGGCGATAGCCGGGAGTACAAAGCCATAGATCCTTGGCCCGTCCTCCTACGGATTTTGTCACACTCCCACAAAGCTATTCGTCGCTCACCTCTTGGCTTTTTCTGGAGGGCTGGGGCTTCTTTCTTGGCATGAGGGTGCAGTGACGTTGAGTTACTATAGGTGGGGTTGTATGTAGGTCTTTTAGAACTTCCGAAAAGGTCCCGGGGAGAAGCTTCCTGTTTGCCTGCGCGCGAAGTCCTGCGCCGGACGTAAACGTTTTACACAAATTGACGTTGGTGGCGTAATACGGATTCGCGGAACTGGACTCATCGTGAGTTGATTCACAAGAAGGAACAGCGATGGGCCCGAAATCACTCCTGATACACCAGATGATGAGGTCCTACACGTTGAGCGAACCCTGCTTACTTACTTACTCTACCGTCTGAATGGTCATGCAGCCAGAAGAAGAAGAAAACTTGACCTTTGATGACCAACCTCGATATTTTGTTTTTGAGAATGGCATGTAGGAATACTTTGGAAGTCTGAGAAAGATCCTAAGAACGAGGACTTATAGGTCCCAGCATGCCGTCCAGTAAACACTGGCTGCCAGGAGGTTTGAGTCGGAGGGCCTACACTTTCAGAAACCGTGTTGAGCATCACTTAGTATTCCTCTCTTTTTAAAATATTCTGAGACATGGTCACCTGCCAGACTCTCCGTTACTTTCGGCATCACCGCCAGAAGTGCTATAGGTAGATGGCACTTCGGGTTCGGCCTGTCCAATTCTAAGGTAAGCAACAGGATAGCCCGTTTCACCCCGTGACAGTATGTCTTTCTAAGGAGTGTCGAGATAGGTTACATAGTGGGTCACAAGAAGCACTCACACGCCGCTTCAGATCAGGATGCCGGATTTAATCGCATCCTAGTTTTCGAGGGCCATGGCTGGGGTTATCTATATTCCATACAACGCTTTCGCAGTGAGTACTTTTGAAAGTTGTACAGACAGTCGTTAACTTTGGTTAAGTGGCTGAAAGCTTGGTTGTGTCAAGGGTGGAGTTAAGATTTTCGTCAGTCCTCACCCCGGAAAGGTTCTCTTTTTGGACCCGCCACAACGTAGGCTCCCTGGTCGGAAGATTTTCTCTCCACTATGAATTGATTTAAGGTTTGGGGCTTGCCTCAAGCTTCTGGGTAAGGGTTATCTGAAATGACTTCCTGTCCCCGTCACCTGGATGCTGCAGCGGTTCCTTAAGTGTATAGTTATGCATTGCGATCTGACCCTGTTCCGGAAAGCCTCCTTTTATGCCATGTTTTCCCCTTGACTTTAAAGATGAGTTCATTGCTCGTTTGACTCGTGGGGACTTAAGGGAACCATCCTTGACCGAGAGAGTAAACTGACGTTGAGGCATTCAAACCTGCGATGGTACTAAACGACAAGGAAAGCCATTACAAGTGTCATCTGGTACCCCATAGACAGTGTCGTTCCTTGAAAACCTTCTCTAGAAGTAAACATATGGCATAGACTCAAAACATACTATCGAGCAGGCACTCACGGCCACCTGTCTGCCACACTATATGTACCATGAACCAACCACTTTAGGCCTTATGGTCCCTCGTCCTTGGAAATCTCAGGAGCTTTCTTCTCCTTCCGCAGCCTATTATCCGCACACCCAAGCTCATACAAGTCATCTAATGCATAATAGGGTAGCAGCCTTCTGTTGGTCACAAGATAGCTTACTTTGGAGCATGACTAAGGGATACTATGCAAAAAGTCAAAGGTGCCTTGTGAGGACGATGATAATTTCCTTGTATCTGCTCCTCATCCGTCCTCCCGTTTCATGTTTTTACCACATATACCATATGTTTAGTACTACCGGGTCCATCACGCATCAAGTTTTCCTTTCCTCACCACAAAAGAAAGTTATCATCAAATATTACGTTAACGTAGTACCTGCGGTGAAACAGACTTCATCTTTTCAGATCAAAGTCTGGAAGCTCACTGCTTATCATCCAAAAACACAGAGGCCGGAGGACTCAGTTTTCCCCCGACTCCCACTCCCCTAATTAGCAAGATCGAAAGTAGGACGAACTTATAGAACCCAACAGAAAATGGCAGATGATAGAATAAGTAAACATGTATTCCTTCAAACCAAAACTTTCTCTGCGGGTTAGAAAAATTAAATCGGATTAAGCCAGTTATATTTCTGAGTATATCACTCTGAATTACCGGTAGAATGATGTCAGTATGACTGGTTGGTATTCACGTGAAAAAATCTAGACATAGATGAAGGCTTACTAGATCCCACTTAGAACCTTTTGGTTAAGATGAGTTACGTATAAGAGGCCTATGATTCCACTGACCTTGGATAGCAGAAAAGAGCTGTTCAACAATAATAATTTTCTCCATCTTTTCAGCTTTCTTGGAACTGAGAAGAGGTTTGTTTTAATTGAAAATATTTTTTCCGCAACTCAGATGTATTACTCAAGGAACTATCATTCACTCTTTCTACACCAAGCAGTTTGAAGTTACTCATTACGTTGTAACATTGTACGACTGAGGAGCTGACCTTGTATGTGAAACACTGAAGGTCTCCGATCAGCTGTTTTTCTTTTGTTGTTGTGACATCTACACAACCTCACTCCAGTCTTGATTTCTTGCTCCCCCTATCTTATTGTTGAAAATTAATAACTTACTTGATTCCGTTTTATTCATCAACGTAAGTATATCCCTTAAGGTTGGTGAGTCCTCTGTTCACGATTATCATCTTTTCTTTTCCCTTCCAGATTCTTGTGCTAGCTGACTGGATTGCCACTATCAAACTTAAGAAGACCTTTCTACTCGCCCATCTGCAACAAAGCACAAAGGCTAGAGCAAGAAGTACCGGCACCTGGTTGTCACATATTATCCACTGCCCTTTGTTGGTCCGTAATGCCATTTCTCAGCCCAGACTGGAGGTATCCTGGGGATCAATGGTTAAAAACGAATGAAAGTGGTAGCATGTGGGAAAATGCTAAAATATACAGGCTCAGGATGTTTGAAACCATCAATGAAAACGTTGTCAAGCGGTTTGATTGTGTTCTGTGGTAATATATAAATTTAGGTTGTGTCGCCAGACACTTAAAGATGAAATGGAGACAACACCTTACGCTAGTGATTATCTGAGAGCTGTTTTTTACCAGCCACATATACATCTTCAGGCGGGTGCTACTCGTGAGGTTTGTGATCAATAGATATGACTAACAATAACCGTAGATAGCAACAACAACGACAATCAGTGAAGCTTTACTGAAGCTAGACACTAAAGCTGCCTTAAGAGATATACGGAGATTTGACTACATCTGCAAGGTATTCGTTTGATATTAACTTAATCGGGTAGATAATGGAGCTTCTGATATCAGAACATTTTCATCGATTGGCCGGTAGGCTGCAGCTCTTTCTAATCGAACTTTTAAGAGAGGTGCTTAAGCAAGGTTTGTGCGTGTTGATGTTTTTATTAAGTTATATAGTTCAGGCTAGTTGCAACCAAACAGCACGCTTCCGAAAACTTTTGGATGCATTACTAGAGAATTTAGAGAAAAACGAATATGATCATATCGGAAGTACCTTGCTTTGGCAAAACCACAGAAAAGCCTTAGATGAGATGTATGACAGTATTGATAACTTTGACATTGAAAAAGTAGGTCGAAATTTTCATATTTGCATTTGATTTTAGTTATTTGAGTGGCTAATGTAATTAGAAATTCTGCTTTTACTTGATGTGCCTTTGTTTGTTTGCATTTTACATTAGATCATAGAATAGTACCCTTTCCCGATTCAACTTACTTCCTCAGTGAGATAAATTCAATGCATTCTGAATTCTGTCCTTCAGTTTTGTCCGAAATCCTTCTATACATAGAAAAGATGATAGTCACTATTAAGGTGCCAATATACACTTAGTATTTTTATACTTTTAGAAAAGGAAAATACATTCGTATTCTTTCTGCTAAGCAAAACGAAATTCAGTATGGAGCTTCCCAAGCGGTCCATTCGCTTTACATTTCAACCTACTGAAAGCCGTACCTGCATTAAAAAACTACAGAACGTAGGGAAATGCGATATTTTATTTTTATTTGATTTATATTGTCACCTATGTTTTTAGAGGTTTCTAAATCCGGTCACAGTGAAATCCTACGTTATAAGGATGTGCCTCTTAGAAAGCACACACAAATTTGAGCACTAAGTTAATAGCCACATCTATTTCATGAGGACTAGTAATACTACTTGGCTTCCTTAACCTTGGTGCGGAGTTTGAAATCAAAACCCATTAGCTGAACGTAAAAATTGAAATTTCAAAGTACGAGTTAGTAAGGATTGTTTTTGCCTGAAGCCACATTATCTTTTCCTTGCCTCGTCTGCTAGAAAATTGTAAGGGTTAAATCTGTTGCTACAAATATTTTAGTCATTTGTGAATTGCAAAATACAGCAGTTGTATTCTGTTACTTTAAGAAGTATCAGTCTAAAATCACCATGTTTACCATATTGACGTTATAGGAGTTAGTATCAGCCAAAAATATTGAAGATCAAACAGACAAACTTGTGTTTTGAAAGCGAAATGGCACCTCTAGTTCTCTCAGTGTGTCGGACACAAGAAACATTCAACGTGAAAGGTTGTTCTGAAGTGTATTATTTCGAGTTGCTACACTGCAACAGTGTACAAGTAGGTGGTAAACAAAAATAGAATTACATTGAAATACAAGAAAAGAGCAGAAAAGTATTGATGCACCAGTCGTTTCAAGTTAGTGAAAGTGCTTAAAACGTCGGTAATGAAGTGAGTGCATGTGCACGGGAGTTAACAGTGTTCCAGTGTTTCGTGTAAACCAGTATCTGCGGTAGTGTTAGACAAAGAGTTTCGAAAATTTTGACCTAAAATTGCACGCGTCACCCAGAAACTCTCTAGTACAATTAGTAATATTTTGTAGTAAGGAGCCCATGATTTAAAATCATAGATTACCAAAAGTACTTTGTTTCACTCATCTGAAGCAGACTACTTTTATATTGTAAAGTCAACAACCTCCAGATCATTGACACCACCAAGTGAGCCAAAAGAATTAAACTGCTACAAATGAGTAACCAGGTGTCCATCTTCTGCATATTTTTAGCAGCCTTTGAGTCTTTCCTTCTCATCATTTACGTTTTCGTTTTGTCATATATCTTCTTCATTTTCTGCTCCCACCGTTTCCAATTTACAATTCCTCTCACTCCTGCAACGGTTACTAACTATTGAGGTTCGTAAAACAACATATCTGACCTCCTTCAGTTGCGTCTCAAAGTACATTTGGGTTATTTAGTCTGTACATCGTGTCATACACCAGGAGCCTTACTAGTCTAAACTTTGACATCCACGGTCATGGATACATGTTGCTTCTCGGATACATGTACAGTATCATAATGCGGTTCTTCCATTTGATTTACCACATTGGTGTAGTTATTTCTCATGCAATTAAAGATTCAATGGTCAGTTTCCTCACTTTTGTAGTTTCAGGCATAACTTTGTTGCAGTACATAAAAAGCCTTCCTTGATTTTGTCATTATAGCACCTCATCCTCTGCTTGAATGGTACTGTATGAACCCACCTGGAAAGAATATATTGATATTGATATTTTCATAATCCTATATCTGGAAATCGACACTGATGACTGCTTGCTGCCACTGTACCCCAAAAACCACCTATTTTTAACCAGTATTAACAGTAAATTTAAACGGATATTGTTTAAACTGGAAACCAGTGACTCAAATTAGGCGATGAACGCAGATTGTATCATTGTCGGATACTGTTTCACAATTCCACTCTCTCGAAAAAAATCCACTACACTTTGGTTCAAACATATTTGTCTACACCTCAACGTGTAATGGAGTACACTTGGAAAGTGTCGTCAATATTAACGGGAAAAGTAATTGGGTTAGTTTCTGGCTACCGTTCTCGTCTCAATTCTCATTAGGCCTTCCTCTTATAACTGTCTCTCCTTATACATATTTATCTGCCTTAGTATAACTTTTTCTATCCATTCCTTCCTTTCCTGTTGCTGTAAACAGATGTTCTTCTTTGTCAGATTCTACATTGCTTTGTCTGTTTCAACTTAGTTCTCATACTATAAGGCATGTAGATACAGTATTTTAAACAATAATCACTTTATTTTATGATTTGAAATAAGTACCAACGGCTTAAGATGGCTTCTACAGAAATGATAACCAAATTCACCACACCTATTAGCCAAAGGTATATATAGCTATGTTTTCTAGAAACAGCGTACGTATGTTGTAAAGTCTTTTGGGTCGTTGGTTTTGGTATGTTCTTCACGTCAAGAATTATCAGTAGGACTCAACATTCTAATTAATCCTAACCAATCTTAATAAGCTGTTTCCTGAGAAAATTCAAGCTTGAATATTACCATCGGTCTACCAACTTTACTAATTTATTCCATCTTTAGAACAGATGAGGAATTTGACTACCTGTCAGAGGATGGGTGTATTGCTCAGCATTCCCCTTTTTTCTATTGCATGGCTATGCGACATGCTTATTGAAGATGGTTTGGATGAGTAGGCTACAAGTGTCTTCGTAGAAGTACTCGTGTATGTGTCAGTTTCAAAACGACTGTGCGAACAATAAGAAATGAAGGCAGCTTTACCGTAGACTGACAGTTTTGGAGACTATCATGAGCTGTGACTACTGATAACATTAGGCCTTATATGATAGATAGCTGTGATAAAAGGTGGTGGTTACATGTTTATACCTGTTATAGACAATGAAGCGATGAATGCAGCTAAAGACGATGATACTACAGAGAAACTCAGGCTAGTGATTTGTTTAGGACCATTTGATTAAAATGATGGCAGAAGAATTTGGGTAGCAGTTTATTTTGACCCACAACACTAACATTCTGCTGCCCTTTTTGACCTGAAGTGGACAATAACCCTAGGCTTACAACTTTTTCTGAATTCAAAAATTGCGTAGCTATCCAAAAAATGGCTAAATAAACGGTTTATAATGAATTTATTTTGAGTTTCTCTAATGATTCTGGCCTTAGAGCACTTATCACACTCTGTAGGGTATTGGTCAGGGGCAACAGGGGCAGATATAACTCAGTGTAAATGGCATCAATCGTTGGTTTTTTAGTCTATAATAAAAGGAAAGGATCTGAGTAAAACAACCATAAAGAGATCGACTGAAATAACGTGGATTTTAACCGCTATTACCCAACTGTAAGTATGGAGCAGCAAAGCCAAAAGAGCCGGATCGTTCACACGACTTTTCAAATTTTATCGACCCGTCCATTTTCCTTCTTCAGGCCACTGGTTACGAAAATGACGATGCCCGGTCGTGACGATGTTCATTATTTTAGGGTCAGAAATTGTTGACCGCGTCATATTAAAGTTTAGTGTTCTCAGTGGAACTGGTAAACCAAAGGTTTAAGTTATGGGATTGCATTGATTAAGGTAATTAGAATACGTGCTAATCCTACATGGTCACTCCTTTCCTCAGTATGAATTCCTCTTGGAGTAAGAGTTGAATGGGACGGGAACCAGGACAGCCGATTGTCTTAATCACATGTGACAATGTTCAATCCGTGGTTGTGGTTTCGCATATGGTCAGAATCGATGCTAAGAGATTAAGCGATGTTTCAGAATCCGTCTCGGTTGTTGAGATGAATCCACACCTAACGTCTTTATAATTCTTGATAATATTAGTATACTCTTATATTTCGCCATCCTTACCGTATTTCTTTTCGTAAACCTCCAAGTTTGTTTAAATTTTATCCGTATCATCATTTGCATTTCATTTTGTTGGCTTTTTACTAAGATATTAGCGTACATCGATTGATCACTAGAGAGTAAAAGATTTTATGTTATATAGTCTTCAGTGTCGACCGAATCCTACTAGTCATTTAGTGTAACTGTATGATGTGGGTTCGAATCTCTAAGGGGATATCAGTATTCGCAGAGTTGTAGATAAACTTTGCTGACCAGCGCCAAGAAGCACGGAATCTAGTTGCAGAACTTCCTATTGATTACGTTTATTCCTGTAACAGCAATGTTGGTGCAAACTTTTGGTGGTGGTTGTATCAGTTAATAGGTTATTTATATCTGAAATAACTAATTTTTCAGTTTCAACTTCGCTTGCTTAAACCATTCAGACTCTTTCCTATTCATCTTGGATTTATGGTCGATTGGTCTGGAAACTCAATTTCTAAAACCAGTCGGTCACAGGTTCCAAAGCTATTCCACCTAGTTAGGGTTGGGCGGCTAGGCCGTACCTTCAGAAATCAAGGATGGCTCATTGTCTACTGCATGAAGGTGCATGTGATGGATGAGTTCCTCTTTATCACAGTGTTTGGAGACAGTTCCATACTGACAAGTATGCAGTGGCCTGACCAATGACTGCTCTTTTGAAGCAGTTTCAGATTAATTATCTTCTGCGTATAGGCTTTTTAATGTAGGGCAACACTTCCACTTGTAATTACATTTTACGATGACTAGTGTAGTTCGAAGACTGATGATGTCACATCCTATCGCGCTATTATAATTCACACTCATTGGATTCGTAATTCTTCTTCTATGCATTTGAAAGGTTTTGTCAGTTATTCCTCCAAGTTTTACAAGCAACCATAGGCTTTGGGCCTATTGTCCAACAATATCAGAAATTTTTTTTATGAAAGTTGCACCTTTTGCAAAATACACGGCGCATTATGTATGCATTATTCAGTCGTAACCACCCCCTCCTCCTGCCAGTTATTCTGAACTCTTACCATCTGCAAACGTATTTATCCACCTTACGTTTCTCGTTGATTGCCTTTAGATGTAGTATTTCGAATTATGATAACTTAAAACGATGAATTAACATGTTGAACTCGATATATCTTCAGTTAGTCGCTTATTACTCAATGTGCAGGAAAATTTACCTTTGGATATGATTATTCATCGTAATTTCTTATTGACAGTAACTTCTTAGAAGTGCCTAATTGTATGAGAACGTAGAGGAGTTGTTACAAAGAATGAAAATGATAGTCGAAGTTCCAAATAACCTTGATGAAAGCAGATTCGAACTCATTGTCTTTATTTAATCGAGTCAAATCGAAGTCTACGTACCAACCTTGTGCACATCCGTGAAGTAGGCTCTACGCCACACCTATTGTGTGAGGGCGAGCGCGTGATACTACCTGGTTGCCCAGATGTTGGTAGGTGGAGCAGTGTTGGAACCCATGATCCATTGGTTGAAATTTACCTAACTTAATCAATGAGCCACAGCCCCGCTAATGGTCTGTAGCTGTTCGATGTTTTTCCATTTGAGCAGTAATTGCCAGTAAATCCTCAACTATTACATGATATGATTCAGCGTGTCTCTTAATGGTACATACACTTGTACTATTCTTTGAAATGAAGTGTACGCTGTCAGTAACTTAACCACTTGGCGAAAAGACAAGATATGTATTGACGACCTTTTATTTGCAAATAGTATAGTAGCTTCCCACTTTTGCATTTGTGCATATAGCTTACACGAAAAAATCTATCAATAAGCTACAAACACTGAACTAAGTTATTCACATTAAAAAGCGAGCAGAATAGTTTTAGTTAAACGAATCCCAACCGATAGCTGCTACCTTGACTTAGTGGTCGGGCTAGTATATAACAATGATCCAACAAGCTATGCTGGTGGAACGCTTGTCCCCTCAAAGTCGTACCATACCATAAAGGTCTGTTGTATATTGGTTAGACAAAAAGCAGTTACCATTGTAGTGTATGTAAGTGAAGTCGTACTGCTGATTGCATGGGGTTATGATAGCATTAAGATCCTCCGCTTAGATGGACAGGAGTGTTACGCTAATACTGCCTTTCCAATGGGAAGATGGGGGTGGTTAGTAAACGTCGACCGAAGAGTAGCATACTAACATCCCTTCATGGCATACCAATCCCTGCCACGTGGATTTGTAAGTAAAAAGCCGAAATCTCAGACTTACCGAAAGGACGTGTGTGACTGGCCTGAAGCAGATGTCTCTTAGGCTTTGCAGTCACGTACTATCCCTTCTTCGGGTACCTTAAGTTAAGCGAATCTTCTCTGAATAAATTTATGAAAATTGATATTACGAGTATAGTTATGAATTAATACCGTACAAGAACGTTTATGGAAAGGCTTCTTCTATAGACACAACGTGATTTACTGGAAGCAGATTATTCAACTTCTTCCTAAGAAAGACAAGAGCCGATTAATTCTGAAGTTTACTTCAATCAACGTGTGTTGTATATAACTGTAAGTATGAGACAAGGGGTATATGGCTGTTAGTAATTTATTTGGTAGGTTTCAAACAGCGTATTCTAGGACTAGTTTAAACAGAGTAGAAGGCAAGAAGCAAGGAGATTGTCTAATTATTCATTAAATGAGATATCCTAAAATGTCTAGGTATTTCATTCTGTGCATACATAAAAGGCGTAGCTGGTTAATTGGCACCTATTCTAGGATTTGAAGTGATACTTCTGTTTTTCTGATTTGTTTGTATGCTTTTTTTTTGGTTCATTAGGATAATAAAGCCTCGTTAAATTTTTTTATTCATAGCAATTTAACTTAGGTGACCTGTATTGCCGGTTGATTTTTGTTGTTTTGTAGTTTCTTACGTGCATATTATCACAGATGGGATGATCTTTCATTTTGTAATGATTCGTTTTAAGATTTCTGTGTTTTTACTTTTTATCAGTGATCATTTATTTTGATATCTTTCTCTGCTCAGCTTATTATATAACTAATATTTTAAAAAATTTTATTTGTATAATTTGAAGAAGATTCAATCCATTGCAACCCATCCCCAACAGAAGCTCAGGTCTTTAAGTGAACATCAAAGCTCTTCCGAAGAATGTGTAAGATTGGAAAGACTACCATCTGAATGTTTATCTCATGTTCTTACTTTCTTGGACTCACCTCAAGACCTGGAAACAGCGTCGTTAGCTTCAAGTGCCTTAGCAAATGTTGTTGAAGATAAACATTTTTGGCGAACTTTAACGCTGACACATTTCGATATAAGTCAAATACCGACTGTTAACTATGGTCTTCCTGGATGGCATAGTCAATCTCCGATATCAATAAGTGATTGCAATTGGAAACGAGCTTATGTAAGACTATTGAAAAGATATGGTGACACTCATATTTATCCAGCTAAGCTAGCTGTTTGCGAAATTTGCTTCTGTTTATTCTGGCCGGTACGTTAACCAGTAATATCTTATATATTCTTCCATATATAACCATTAAATTTATATCACCACTTTTTGTATCTCATCGTCTAAGTAACTTTATTATCGTGATACATGTTTATCAACCTCAAAGACATAGACAACATAGTTCTGTAATGTCGTAACATTGTGAAGAGACTTTCATAAATGCTTTAGGTAAACATCTGTGAACTGGCCCTTCAATTCTGCATGTTGAGCACGTTGTTTGATGTTTTATAACTTGTTATTCCCCAGTTTTTGTTTAAAATCGTAGGTAATTTCATCTTCCTGAATGTTTCTTATCGGATTAATTCGGTTCATACCGGCAATATTTTGCTGAGAAATACAGAGAATTTTTTCTGTTATTTACTTTCTTCAAGATTGAAAAATATTCTCTTATTCTCAGAAAGTCAAGGATAAGTCAGTTTAGCACTTTCTGTTCTTCTACGTAACTTTTAGGGTCAATGGAGTTGGATATATGGGTGCTACCTTGAAGCAAATCAATCACATGACCCTTAGTTTTCGTCAAAGGTTTTTTTTAACTTAAGGTCACCAAAGTTTAAGCGTTGGTGTCTTCATAGTCTTGAAGTAGTTGTATCTCGTCTGGTAATTTTCTAGTTGATAGTTAGATTATATCTGAAGATTTGGAAGAATAAAGCGGATAAAACTACTTATTTACTGAAGAACAAAAAGTGTATAGGACAATGGGAAGTGTTCTGGCACGATCATCATCATCAATATCAACATAGGACCAGGCATTACTGCGTAACGGTCCGAGTTGCCACACTTCATATCACTACATCAAGTAAAAAGGTAGTGAGGTGAAGGATGAAGATAAGAGAATGCAGTCAAAAGAAATATAAAGTACGAGAAGAAAGAAAGGAGGAGTGAGAAAATGGTGAGATTCGGTATAGCGTAGTTAAGATGAAGATAATGTGTGTGTGGGGATACATCTGCACTACTGACATCGGTCCTCAGCCATATCCCCTAGAGTCTCTAGCCACTGGTTTCTCTTGTCCCGCCGATCCCAACCACCTAGTCTGCATCGCCCCACATGGCTAAAACCAACAGTCAGAGACTTCATGCATTGGTGCCATGTTTTAGTCTGGCCAGCTCGGGTCTTTTTCCAGCCTGAACCTACTTCGGCCAACACTGTGTGACGAGGCAATCGACGACTAGGCATACGTAGTACGTGTCCTAACCATCTCAATCGATGAAGGTTTATAACCTCTTCAACTGATTTGCCTCTGCTCTCTAAGACTCTATACCTGACTTCTGCATTACTTATGTCGTGACACCATGGAATACGGCGGCCTATACTACGAAGGCAATAGTGGTCAAACACCTGAAGCTTTTTTATATCTTCCACTTTCAATGGCCATTTTTCACAGCCATACAGCAGAACACACCGAACTGCTGTGCCATTCACGCGACCGTTAATAGACAAACGGATATCACGATGGAATCATAACATCTAGTACTTGAAATTCAGCAAAGACGAGTATGAAAATTCTAAAGAAGTTGTTCAATTAGTATCCAACAAAACCTTTTTAACCTTACTGTTGTTATAAACCATGGTTAAGTGCTACAGACCTGGCGTACAGTGTTCTCTTTAACGCTCAACATAAATTCATTAATTCAAAGTTCTTCTGTGCCTTTGTTTCAAGAAAGTTTTGGAGATGTGAACAGCAAACAGTGATTTCCCTGCTATTTTTAATCCAATCGGATTAAAAATGAGATACGGCCCATAATAGTGAGCGGGCTTTCGATCAAAGTGAGAATCAAATTCTTTCTGATCACCGAAGTCAAAGGTTTCACTTATACTTACAGCATTACTACTTTATTCGGTTGCGTATCCTACTCAGTATACAATGGCTAGGAATGTTACCTACTTGCATAGTTTGAAGTAAAATAATTGGGTTGGAACCAATAATTGAGTGGGGTAGTTGAGAGTTGAATCCATAAACAGCTAAGCAACAAGTTACGTATTTTCATACATAGCTACTGAAAAAAACAAAAACATTAAGCGTCTGAAGAAAGTAGCTACTAGTGTCTCGATGAAAACTCTTACAGCCAACTTATTTGAGTACGATGGAAAATAGATTGAGGCGTTTACGATTGGATTTCGATTAAGCACAGAACTTAGAAATTATTTAAATTTCATACACTATTTTTAAATTCGTTTTAAGTCTTTGGATAAAGTTAACAGGTTTACGTGCAAGATATTGCAGTTTGTAGTAATACCGCCTATAATTGGATGCTGTCGAAATCATAATCTGTTATAAGCAGATATACTTGATTTTTAGCATACTTCATACTAAGGAGTGAGATTTTATCTTGTTAGCTTGGAGTAGGGTCAAAGACACGCGTTTCATCCTGTTTTGTACTCATCATCTGGATGTATCTGCACCTCAGTGAGTGATATTGTTCCCACTGAGACTCGAACCCAGTACCCATCGCTTCATATGTCAAACCGTTATGCAGTAGGCGACTGAGGCACGATCGCTACTTCTTGTACAACGGGTAGATAACCCTTGGCGTTTGAAGCGATGAGTACGAAGTTCGAGTCCCAGTGGAGACAACACCACTCACTGGGGTGCAGGTACATGCGGCGAAACGCGCGTCCTGGATTCCTCTGTTAGCCCAATCCAATTAAATCATCATAATAAATATTTGGGCAATATCGAGGCATTCACATAGGAGCTTGCATACCAATGGAGGTTGAACAATTCGGTCCAGTATAACAACGGAGAATTACAAGTATATCAGCAAATAGTAATGTAAGTGAAGGGATCACTTTTATTTTGTGTATGTGTAAGTTTAACTATGACTGTTGTGTGTGGCGTAGTATTTTGGTTATGCTGTTCAATTCGGTTGGACGGGTAGACCTTCCTTTTTGCTGAGTGCATTAGGATTCAGCATAATGTGAAATAAGCCTCAGTTATCTGTCTTTCCTTCTAGTTTCAAAATCCTTATTATTATTTGTCCTTTTTGTTCCTAGTAGAACATACCGCTTCAGTAGCACGTCGCTATTTCACTCTCTTCTCTGCAGTCTTCAAAAACTGGATCCACGACTGCTCACAAGCTTTCATTTCTTCCTCACACCATCTCCTCCATGTTACCCTCGCCTCGAACGCCCAACTTGTCGGTTCCCCTTTGGATTCCACTCGAGGGCCTTGCCTGGCACGTGATATCTCCGAATAGCTTTCCCAGTGTATGCCCAATCCAATCCATCTCCACTTCTGCATATTTGTTGGGTGATAGGTTCTTGGCTGGTTCGTTGCCAGAGTTCCTTGTTACTTATTCTTTCTGGTCATCTGATCTTCAGTATCCAGTGAGCGTAGGCGGCAGCTGTTGATGGATGCCTGTGGTTTGTTGGAAATGCTTTTCGTAACACACTAAGTCTCTCAACTATCACATTGATGCACTAACTTACGTGATATTGGTGCTAAAAACCCGGATGTTGTACTTTATACTGAGTGCAGTAGATCTCCACACTGATTTCAGATTCATGAAAGCCTGTCTTGCTTTTCCGAACCTGGTTTTGACATCCTCGTACTTGCCACCGCCTGTAGTTGAAACGATGCTGCTTAGGCAGGTGGGTAAAACAGACTACTTCTTCGAGGTTTTACACGTTCATGGTGAGTGATGCATGTTGTTGGTTGGGTATCTTCATCACCTTTGCCTTTTTCACATTCACCTGTACATCTTCAAGTCTGTGCGACATTAAACATAAATCATCTGCGAAATCAAAAATATTCCAGGGTCTCCTCATCAGTTCAACCAGCGTATGCCCATCTTCTCGCTCCTCACGGTTGTCTGTTGCATGATCCAGTCGGCCATAATCAGGAAGATCATCGGTGATCGTAGACGGCAACCTTGTTTTACCCCTGTCTTCACTTCGCTTCAAAGGCATCACTGAGCTTTCCATTATGAATCACTTGGCATGTGGAGTCTTCATATAGCTGTTGAATGAGATTGATAAGGTTTGCGGCACTAAAAGCGTTGTGTTGAGGCAGCTGCCAAATTACTTCTCGTTCGAGGCTGTCGAAGGCCTTTTCAGAGTCGATGAAGTTGAGGTAGAGAGTTAACTGCCATTCTACGCTGTGTTCTATGATAATGTGTAGCGTTACAATTTGGTCCACACATGATTTGTTCTGTCTGAAGCCAGCAGGTCTGTTCCGGTCATAATTTTGAATCCAGAGTATCTCTTAGTCTCTCCAGGATGATGTGGCTTAATATTTTACTTGCTTGAGGTGGACAGGAGTGGAGCATGATTCCGCGCCAGTTCTTTCAAAGACTTAGGTCTCCCTTCTTTGGGAGTTTGACGAAGTAGCTCTTCTTCCAATCAATAGGCAGGTACCTTCTCTTCCTTCCTCCCTTGCAAACCTTCTGCAGTAGTGGTGTGAGCATGTCCGCTGTTGTCCCTGCGTCTGTTCTCAGTGCTTCTGGTGGAATTCCATCTGGTCCTGCTGCTTTTCCGCACTTCAGTAGCTCTATGGCGTTCAGGAATTCGGCCTTTGTCGGAAGGCCTGTGTTCACTGGTAGTTCTGCGGTAGCTAGTGCTATATCTGGAAGAGTTGCAGGTGGCAGTGGTGTAGTGGTGGTGGTCGATTCAAGATCTTTTTGAAGTGGTCGGCCCATCATTTCCTTTGTTTCTCTTCTTTGCCAGTTAAATTCCGTTCATCATCTTTTATTGGTTTCATCTGTGTTGATCTCTTGCCAGATATCAACCTGGTTATTTGATATAATGTTGTCATGTCTCTCTTACCAGCAACCTGCAGCATGTTCTACTTCAGTTGTGAGTGTGTCGTAGAAGTGTCTTTCGTGTTTCTGTGCATTCCCTCTTCACTTCTTTGTGCAGTGTTTTATAGGTTGTACTTCGTTCCTATTTTCGTTGTTCATCCTTGCATTGCACTGCACTGGTTCATCTTCTATTTCACCATCACCATCTTCCTCTCGTTGCTCTGTCAGCTTCCATGTGTTCGTCGAGATCCATTCCTTGTCTTGTTTCTTCCTCCTTCCTAACACGGTTGTGCAGGTTTCCTTGCATGTCACTTTCACAGAGTTTCGGTGTTTTTCTACGGATGTTCCTTCAGGGATGATACTCAATGTCTACCATTTTGTTCTGATGGCTGACTGATGTGAAGATGTCCTTTAAAGTTTCGTCCTTCAGTTTCTGTTCTGGGTGTTGAACTTGAACTGTGGTTACTTTGTGAATATCCTTGTGTTTGTACACACTGCCTCCAATCACCAAATCACTGAATTCAGAAGTCTGCAAACAGTTCTGCATTCTCACTCATCATTTCACCAAGTGCTTCTCGACCCATAATTGGTTCTCTTCCTGTGTTGTCTGCTCACAGTTTGACATTCATTTCACCCATTAGAATTTCGATGTCGCCATCTGGGGTGAGGCCTTGTCTATTACTGATTGCAGTTGTCTTTGGAATTCCTCCTTCTCTTGATCTGCATTATTTGTGAGTGCGCAGCGTACTGATATTTTAATGGTATGATTGGATATTTTCTTACAATGCGTTCGCTAGGTGAAGACTGACAAAATTCTGGGTCTTCTGAATACTTTGCGTAGAAATCTGAATATATTCAGTATGTTTCTCGCACCCGTCAAATGTAAGGTGATGCTGTTAAACTGGTCTGCTGTAAATACTCCCAGTTTAATTATGGGGAGTGAAGTGGCGGGTTGTGTCAACTACTTCACTTACGTGAGGAGTTGCATCAGCCCGAACGGACTGATTTCTGATGAAATCTCAGCTTGGATACAAAAGGTGCGTTTGGCATTTGTCAACTTGTGTCATATGTGGCACCAACTGGTGAGATATCTGACTATCTATGGAAAGACGAGTATACTGCGCTGCAATTCTTTTTTTCTTGTTATATATCTGTGAGACATGGCCATTAAAAGTAGATAACGTGAAGCGCTTTCAGTGTTTTGATCATTAGTGCTTTCGTAGCATCGCTTACGCCTGGTGGGTTTACTGTGTGAACAGTGTTGAGGTTTTGGTGAAGGATACTAGACAAGACAGTCAAGTCGACTGATGACGTTGTGAACCTTCATCGGTTGAAGTGGCTTGGACACGTGTTGCCCATACCAACTTATCATGTAACTAGACATGACATATTAAGGGAAGCTGTATTAGGTTGGAAGAAGACTCAGCGTAACCAGACCAGGCGAGACGTGGCGACACTCGATGAAGTCCGTGGTTGTTGGTATGATTCGTGTCTGGCGATATAGACTACCTGACTTGAGTCGTCGAGACGATAGTAATCAGTGGTTGATAACTCTTGTTGAAATGGCTGAAAATGGGTCACAATGGCGCAGATATAATTCACTCCTTGACATCTTCTGAAGCTTAAATATTCACACTGACTTTTATCTTCTCTCACACAACTTTGTCAACTTTGATACCACTTTTTCTATCCACCTGTTCTTTGTATAGTTATGTTATGTTAAGTGTAACCGCTTAAACCGATTCACTCGTATACGAGTTTTTACGTTGGTTGTTTTTATTTGTCTGTCTGTCTGTTTGCTGTAGTGAAAGACTTTACTTGTTAAGGTATTCTCATTGAGGGTGAAAGAGAAAGTTAGCCTTAGGGATTATCTGCCTACAATATCTCAGCATAATGGTTGTCGTTAGGCCATTAGTATTTCTTTATCAAAAATAAGCACTAAAACTGAAAGTAGTAGTTTGGTCGGATGTGCGACTGTGCTGTGTACCTTACTGACTCAGTAAATTTTATTTTCATTGCACTACTCATCAGTAAGACCGAGTGAATAGAAATGAATAAATACGCGATGGGATAGTTGAACTGAATACGGATTGCTGTTCCTCCTCTCTCTCCCCCCCAGAACCTTATACTGCACTAAGCTATACAAATATCAGAGGGCAAAGGCAGGCTGACTGTAATGAAGACACTTTACGCGACAAAAATACATCATTTATGTACAATTTTCATAAACATATAATACCATTAGGTCAAAAGTTGGATGACTTTTCTGATTGGCCAACTGTAGGATAAAATCGCCCAATATGGTTTTTCCTGACCACACAGTAACATGAAGCAAAAACTGAAGGACAAAACTTCTCTCTTTAACAGTTGATGAACTAAAATGTTGATTTACATTTAAGCCATTTCCTATCGATGATGTTTATTGACCCAACGTTGTCAACCGAAGATCCATTGTAAACCAGAAAGTAATAGACAGCGTTTTTCGTGGGTTAGATCTTTTCAACAGTGTGGAATCGCCACTTATTTAATGATTACTGTATACAATAAACTTAAATCTTAAAGTAAAGAGTTTGGCAGTAACCTGTCCAACGATACATAATCCCACCAGTTGAATTAAAATGTAATGGCAACTATCCTCTTCATTGGTTCGTTGAGGGAAATGTTGACTACGAAATTCGAAGGTTTTGATTTGTATCACATACAGATATGTTGAGGATTATAGGCTTTAAGAGAATAACTTGAATTTTGATCTTTATGATATGTATCAAAGATAATGCTTGAATGATGATTTCATTTTATTCTCTTTACAGATTTTCGGACATCCTTGTCATTATCCAAGCAAAGAGTCACGAATACGTCTTTTATCTCCAAATGAATTTATTATGCTTTTCCAAATTTAATCATCCAATATATGTTCACCATAATTTCATACAAAAAAGTCATTCATTATTCATCAAAATGTCACAGTGCCTTCGGTGTACAATCTTATATTTGAAGATGTGTGTTTTATCTTCAATCCTATTGACTGGCCAACTTATGAACAACAAGAAAAATCTGCATTTTCTCAAATCATGTGCAATTTTTTGTCTTTTAGTCTTGTCTTTCTACTCTTTTATTCAGCTATTTATTTGTTTATTTATTGACTGTTTTAAACAACAACAAAAAAAATGGAGCGGGAAACAAACTTGCTATCTTCTTCCTTGCAAACTTATGCAAATATGATAATTTCATAATCTTTTTTATGAAATATCTTTCTATCCATTTATCCTTATTTCAGTGAATAAAGTAGATTGCGTAGTTTTTATTAAACTTCTTATTTTACTGACTTCCACAAGAGCTTGAACATGTCAAAACATACATTCATTTTCAACTGTGATCATCGAAACACTTGTCTTTTTTTTTCGCGCCATTGTATACAGCAAGGCTTGTTGGTATTTATTCATTTATTGAATTATTTTGTACTATTTTTTTTCTTTTGTGTATGTCTGGTAAGATTCCCTTTTATTTATTTGTTTATTTTTTAATCTAATCACAACAACAATTACTTCTTTTGTCACATGTTCTGTTTTCATACACAAATACACATATGTTTGTTTATCAGCCCATTAAAAACAAATAGAGAACACCAAAAGTACCCTATATCTTTTAGTGTTCGTTTAAATGCTTGATTGATTAGCTGGAATTGCATCATTTGTGCTGTCAGATGGTACATCGGGTGGAACTAAACTTCAGTGACAGCCAATCACTTTTAAGCTTGCACTGACCAATCAGAATCAAGCGAAGTTCTTTCCAAAGAACTTTCCAAGACTATTCCACATATTTTGTTCACTTTTCTAATCTGTCCTTTATCCACTGAAAATATCCTTTCTTCTATGATTTGTAAAGACATATGAATGTAACCTACCCATTCCTGTTTACGCCAACTGTCTCGATTATATTTACGTTTCCGAACAAAATATTCACCTATTCCTACCAAACTTCACGTAAAAACTGCAGATTATTTCGGAGCAAATATCTGTGCAGTGGTATCAGCACTGCAGGGACTTCGCTAACATCTTTTACGGCTCCTGCTGATTGAGTTGGATGAGGCCTTTCGAAAAACGAACTTGTTTGCAGAGATTTCTTTTTTCGAGAGATGAGACAATGAAAGATGAAACCGTCTGTCTTCTCACTGTGTAGCAGGCGGTGCATTACAACACCTTATTCACAATTCTCGTAAGCGATCCAACTCTGCGACTAACTGACTAGGTATTCCTTGTCATAATTCATCAAGAGTTATGCAATGTCAATAATATGGTAAATGATTGTAGTGAAATGACCTTGAAACCGACATCTGCAACCTGATTGGTCCTCCTTAAAGTTTCCTGTCACTAAAGTTTAATTCCACCGTACATCATAGTCATATGTTAAACTTTTCTGTACCTCTGCGATCGAATCGTTCCCAATATAAAATGGAGGACTTACTGGTATTTGGTTGTTATTGTTACCTTCAGAGGATTGATATTATCTTGCACAGATTAAGTGATAGGTAAGTGGTGTATTGTCTATATACTATTGGATCATCTTTTCGTACAGCAGATTGCAGACATAGCGAGAAAAGGTTTTAGATGAGGGCAGTACATTCGCTGACTTTAGGTTTGAAATGTGCACCGTATTGTAAGGTACGTGAAGGAGGTATTTGTAGCGAGAAGAATCAGATCTTAGAGACTTAGCGATATGACTCAAGCTTAGTAACAGCAAACGTTTGTATTCATTAGAAGAAAAGGCTTTCATTTGGTAAGCACCAAATGTGTCCACTCAGTTTCTGTTTCACACTTGTGTGGTGTTAAACGTTATTCTGTTTGTTTTCCCATTTGTTGGCAACTGTTAGACTAACACCCTTTGAGTATTCAACCATTTTTCCCTTTAAAGCTTCTTACTGCAATAAGATGTCTTATTGACTCTATTTTCACTAGCAGTACAGTTTATGTTTGAGTTTAATCAGGAAAGAACCATGTACTTGGGTTTTGTACTTGCTAACACACTTTGAGCCTTATTTGTGGCACTAAGGAAACGCGTATTCTTTTGAATATGTCAGCCTGATTCACTCAGTTCCGAAACCGATAACTATCACTTTGTTATTCAAGGAGTGATCGGTTCATAGAGTCTTTATAAACCTTTTAAAAGCTGTGGACTCATAGGAGAAAGAGAAATAACAATATTGACAGTAATTGAACTATGTCAAAGGTTATTGCTTTTACGTAGAAGAAGCACTAATAGTGAATAATTATCCTCCACAGTTTATTAAGAAATTCGTACGAACGCAAATGAAAAAATAACAGTAACACTAGTACGAATAATAACGACGACTCGAATAGAGAAAGGAGTTCACAGCCTCCATTGTGTTACCCTACAAGGAAGGCACATCAGAAACTATGTAGGATTCTGAACAAAGCTGGTATTAAGGTGGCATTTAAACCTACAGACCCACTCACAGATAAGCTTTGTTGGCTTAAATATCCGATTTAACCAATTAAGCAAAATAATCTAATCTATCAAATTCCATGTAATGACTGCGAGGTCAAGTATATAAGTGAAACTAACTGGTCGGGGTCAGTTAGAATAGCCGAACATAGGAATTTAGCTAAATATAGAATAACAGACCTAAATAAGATCAATAATCTAGAAAAAAACTCGACTATTGCTATGCATACATTAAGACAAACACACAATAGGTGGGATAAAGCCACTGTACTTAAGTCCAATATAATTAGGTGGAGAGAGAGAGAGATTGATTACTGAATCTTTGTTCATCGAATCAACACTCAACACGTGTAGCAGAAATGACGCAACACCTACGCCAGAAATATAGAAGACTTTATTACCAATAGAAAAAGTCAAATTTCTTATTGATCAAACATTTCCGTTAGGATTGATGCTGATAAAATGCATCATTGAATAGAATATCTACAACTTATGATGTATATCCTTTTCGGCTGGAGTTTTCTTCTATTTAACCGTTTCTGGGAGAAATTTCTCAAGGGAATCCTAGTGATTAGCTTCAGTGTAATTTAATTGATTGGTGAAGAACGGAATTTCCCCATACAAATTTATTTAAATGAGAATAAAAGCCAAACATGCTTCACCAGCTTCAAAATTGCACTGAAACTACTGAAAAATGTGTCAGTGGAAGCTTCATCTATGGAAAACCGGCTGGATAAAATTTGATCACTATTCACAACTAGACAACATGAGATTGGTGGTTGTTCTCTAGTGACCAATCGGTGTATGTAACTCAGTCATACAGGAGGTCAATCGCTGTCCAAGTAGCTCAATGGTAACGCCGCTGACTATACAACTAAGTGGTGCAGGTTCAAATCTTAGGCAGGGCATTGGTTCCATCGAGCTTGCTGACGAACACCAACAAGCATGTAACTTAGGCTGGACAACGCTTTCCGCTGATTGCCTCCAACCAAAACGCTGCTAACAAATCGCTAAAGTTGTCTCTTCTCTTTAGTAAAGACAAAAAATGCATTTCGGATTGTTTAGGATTTTGCGTCACTTCAATGACCAGAATACATAGTCGAAACTGTGTGCTCATTTACTTGGTTGTCAAAGGTAAACGGAATTTAACGGTAGTCTTACTGTTTCCAAGTAATATACTACTTAAAAAGTTACTTATTATTCTGCGGCCTTAAAATATTCATAAAAATTAAATCACTTTAATTTAATCTCTTCATATCATTCACATTCATACCTATAAAAGGTGTACAAAACCGTCAGCATTTGCTTGAAATGTCTTCATTTGAAATACCATCCAAACCACATCATTTAAAGTGAACGATCTCGGCCTATTGATCATCACTAGTCTTAATGAGAGTGTAATCTGTGTGTGTGCATATGTAGGATACTGGCATGACTCCAAAAGCCACTCTAGCAACGACTGAGATAGCCAATTCGATTTCTTTATTTCAGCTGAAAAGTCTGGCAGGGGGATCTAGAACACGCGTTTCATCCAGTTTGGTACTCGTCAGCTTCGTGTATCTGCACACCAATAAGTGATGTCGTTCCCACTAAGATTTAAACCCACTACTCATCGCTTCAATAGCCAAGTGCTACTTCACTTGTTCTTATGATGGTATTTAAAGTCAGTCAGAATATTGTTTGTTCAGTTTCGTATGTTTTATAATCGTATTATCGGTTGGACACATATGGCAGCGAAACAAAAGAAAAGTACACACAATATTTGCTAATTGTAAACTAAAAGTCACATGGAAGAAGGAATAAATACAAACAAAAGGCACGTGGTTGTGTAAATGTGTGTCTGTCAATGAAAAGTCAAAGGAATTCCACACTAATTAGCGAAAGACGAGATGAAGATTTCGTTTTGATAAGTATTCTAGCATTTCAAAACGAAGAAAAGGAGAAACCCAGACGTCAGCCTGGGTCAGAGTAGATCGAATACTGAAGGCCAAGTGAGCTTCTTGAGGTTACAGACAAACTTTGCTAATGAGTATCAGCAAGCACGAAATCCAGGTTCACTAATTATAATTATAACTTTACTTCAGAGTATGTTTGGTAAAGTATAAAACTCCCAGAATGTGCTATGTCAACAAATTTACTCTCTGTACAATATTTTTAAGTGAAATGTTCATAATCTCGTGGTAATTTCAATAATAACAGTATTGTAAGGCAATAGCATATAACAGCCAGCTAGCGTTTGGTCTAAAGGGAAGAAAATGACAGGTAGGTTTGCAATATAATCTAACCATTTACGGAATAGTTGTCTAATTTATTGTTAGTCAAAAAACCCATTATTATCTACTATGATGTTCTTTCTCCATTTAATTTTGTTGTTAATTTACAAAACGGCTATTTGGAAACATTTTGAAAGATTGCGAGGATACATACATAATATGTT